AGAACCTTTTATTGACAAAATATTAGCGTTTTCAGGGGCTTGTAATATTTAAAATTCGACTTGAAGTCCCTTCGGCTTAAATTCCCGTCGTCAGTTGATGTTCAAACTAATGGGCATTCTCATGATAGGATGTCTGAATGCGTCAGGTTATTAGCCAATCAACTACTCCTGAATAATTGAAACAATAAAAACTCCTCCTTTTTTAAGCTTTTTTTGGCTTTCAAATACTGATTTTTTATTGTTTCAGCAAAGTTTTCGACTGTTTGCTCAATCTGGTACGATAATTTTTCCAAAAGTAGGGATCTGCGTTTGACAAAAAAAATGAAAAAATGTTTTTTTTTTAATTTTAAGAGAGCCGAAGAAAACAAAAAAAAGATGAAAAATATAATAGTTATCTTCAGTTTTTCCTAAAATTGATGAAACAAAAACTTTTGCTAATTTTTTTTTCGAATTTTCTATTCTGAAAATAAATTGTTGATCAACCAAAAAATCTTGAGTTCAAAAATCAAGTCTGAATGTTTGGCTTCGTTTTGAAGCTAAACCTCTGAAACCCCTAAAATACTTCAATTTTAATTTTTTTCCTTCATTTAGATTTTGAGAGAAATTTTTATGTAGAAAAATAGATTTTTTTTCATGCTTTTTTTCCAAAATTAAAAAAACGTATCATATTAGGTTGTTTGTAAAAGCTCGTCATTTATCTTTTTTTTGAATACGAGAGGCATTAAAAAATGTTTATAAAAATAACACTCGACCTTTTGACCGGCTCCAATTGTTTTTTTTAGAATTATCTTTCTTAAAATAAGCATAAAAATAGTTTTAGAAGTAGATTATATTTCATTTTGTTGCGCAAAGTCCTGGTTTCAGGGTAAAACTCCGTCTGACGACTTCTTTTTAGCGGCTTAGCTTTCTTTTGAATGCCTTTAGTGACAAGAGAAAACTGTTTGTTCATTTTTTTTTTCATTTTTAGTTGCTTACTTGATGCAGAGTATAAACTAGTATATTTTGCGTGTGTAGACATCAAAAACTTCATACAATTAAATTCCTTGTCCGAATTTAATTTTTAAACAATGAAATTTATAGCTAGTTTGCTATCTCAATTTGATATATTGCAACGTAGCCGCCCTAAGTTAAAAACTCCGATAAGTCCATTAACAACGATCGCAGGTAAAAAATAATTCTCTTTTAGTTTTCGATCTGTTCAAATCAAAACCTGTCATAGCGTATGTAACCAACTCGTCTATTTGTATAGTCAAATTAAAGAAGGTAGTCTCGCAAAGCATTAACGCCGTGCATAAGCAAACTACCATTCTCCTCAAAAAAACAGAATGAGCTCATCTGATTTAAAGAAGGGGAATGACAGAGAGAAGATAATAAAAGGACCTCTTAGAATTTAGGCCAAATTTCTTACTTGATGATAAAAATTAAGCTAAAATCCAGACATCTGAAAACTGGTTAGAGAAATGTTTCTTCACTTAGTTTGAGCTAATATGTCTCATAAAAGAAACAACCAACAATATAAAAACCAACGTTAAACGCCAACGCCATAAAACAAACGCTATCAAACAGAAAAAATATGATGTTTGGAGTCTTTTCGAATCTGTTTAATTAAGTCCCGTCTTTTTTATTTAGTACCAGCTCGAAATACTCCAAAAAATTTTTAGAACAAAACAATTTTATTCTCTCTTAAGAGTTAAGCGAATGCAGATTTTGACCCTTGAAGCGAAATCATTCTTTGGAACGTAAAAAACGAATAGAAAGTATCTAATTGTTTTGGTGTTACAGTCAATCAAATATCAGTCAATTGAGCCGAATTTTTTTTTCAGTGGATAGTGTGAAAGTGTACATTGGAGACTACGCCATCCCGGTTGGAGTTCAGGTTTTTTCGGTCACGGATAAGTTCATTCCCAAAGAGTAAGTTCAGCTCCTTCCTTTTTGAATTATTATGTGATCAGTTTGAAAACATTAAAAAACAAAAAAGCATAGTTACACTTTGTAGATAAAAGCATAGTTGCAGTGATGACAAAATCTGTGGATAACGTGAATGGCTTATAATTCTTTACCTTTTGTCCAAACTTTGAAGCAAACAGAGGAATAAATACGCTTGGTGCTCTATTCAGATCAATTTATAAACTGTCGAAGCTTGGGTAGTTTGAAAAATGGCGAACTTATTATCCGCAGTGTTTATGCAGGAATTTAATAACTCTATTTCTGCTATACAGATTAATGCATATTTATATCTCTCTGTTTGTATTTTTATGTGTCCCTTTTTTGGAAGGGATAATTTAGCCCGTTTTTAGGTTTCGTACAGATATCAGGCCGTGCCCCCACGACATTGCTCTGCTACGACTAGACTCTCCCATTCCAAGTTACCATAGCTTCCAATTTCTGCCGCCCTGCGAGGAAAAGGCCCCAAATGGAGTTGTCCTCGGAGCCTCAGGAATGGGGACTACTTCTAATTTGCAGAAAATACAGGGATTCGCTCTTCTCTATTAAACCAACAAATAAAACTAATTTTTTTTGCAATAAACGTAAAACTTCTTTTTAGAACAACTGAAACTCAATTACGGAACTTAAAACAAGGATAGACGGTTGCTGTGCAAGTAGCTCCAAATGGTTCGACCGTATTCACAAAAAATGGGTTTTTGTTTTACTTTTCTTCAATTAGTGTAATTTTTAGTTGGTATTGAACAACAAACAAAAAATAATAATAATTTTAAAACTTTTTTTTTGAACTTCTTGCACAATGAAAATTTTTCTGAACTCAATCTGATATCGTCGGTAGTATTAGTTTGGGC